GGCTGTCCTGCCCCCCCTCCTCCACCTGGAGTGCCTCCTCCATTTGGTGCCCCCCCTCCACCTCCTCTAGGGTTTGGTGGTGCTCTAGGTTCGCCCACTCACCATGCACTGCCTTATGGCCTCAGGCCTAAGAAGGACTTCAAGCCAGAGACCTCCATGAAGCGCCTCAACTGGTCTAAGGTAAGACACTGCACTGAGTGTTTCTTATATTTAACCACCCCATTTCCATATATGAGGGTGACACCGAATGCACGGTAGCTCATTTGGTAAAGCGCATGCCCCATTAAGGCTGAGTCCTTACTGCAGCGACCTTGGTACGATTGCTTTCTGCTGCATGTCATCCCATCTTTCTCTCCCCATTTCCAGTATATCTTTATCTGTCCATATAATATAGGAAAACCATCTCAGCACAATGTAGTCCAATAACAAAAGCCTCAAAAAGTTACTATGAAGTCAAATCAGCGCCTCGCTTAAGTTTCACAAAAGAAGTTATTCCCAGGATCTCTCAGTATAGTGGGCTGCAGTACATTTTAGAGGTGAATCTTCTAACTGACAACCGGGAGATATGTTTTTTACTCTACTGGATTAGGGTTAACGAAAAGTTTGGGATAACTAACTAAGAATTTAGGCCGGGTATTTATAGTGCCCTTTGTTCGTTTGTTCCTGATGTTCATTGGCAGCATCTGAACACTACAGATGTTTCTCTAAGAATTAAAAAACAACTTTCTACCTCTGTGCCAAGCCAGCTATAATTGAAAATAACAGATGATCAGATGCTATTGTCAGAGCAGTCTACAGATGTTGTTCTCTGCAGAGCAATATTAGTTCACACCACAAGTGATATTAGTTTGTGGTTTGATTAATAATTAAATCTCAGATGAACATCGGTACAGGTGTTCAGCAAACTAAAACATATGCTTGGAATTTCAAGTGAACCTGTTAGTAGGACATGAGGACGACTTATGGCATAGCTGTGTGAGACCCCACATATGGTTCTGTTTGAGACAAAGCTGTTACGATTTAAAACTTCCAACTACTGCTGAGTGGCTCAGCCAGTTTGAGAGAGTAACGACTAAACATTTTAATGATTAGACCTCAGTGATAAAACTATTTTTGACAGACATGAAGAACAACCTAGCATCTGCACAGCCTTGGCACACTGTTGGCTAGTCACTTTCTAATAACTACTGAACTAGCAAGGAGTTGTCAACGTACACAACTAGCAGATACAGGGCCACATGGACATATCATTAGTGATGTGCATTGTAGCTATGTGTGTGTGTGTGTTTCTATTTTGATGGAGGCAATATATGCCTATAAGTTGATACATCAAATGAAAAACATAAAGCTTGCATTGGACTTTACTTACTGCAATCCAGGATTCTCTGGAGCATGGTAAATGGCAAAAAACTAGCCAAAGTTGTTTGTGCTTTGGTATGAAATGCTTTTGTGCCTAGCTGTAGTATTCAGAGGAAGGATAAAAGGACAAAGAGTGTGCCAACTCCTCCACAGTAAGTTGAACAAGGGTATAATGCTGTTAACAAGAATATAATTCCAAATATTCACTTTAATTGGCAGGATAACTCTTGTACAGCAAGTTCATTTGGAATAGTCTTTTGTAGCTTTTTACATGTGACTAATATCTGATGAATGAGTTTCTTTACAGTGACCTTTCCCTCTGTAGTCACTATAATCTGTAAAATACAGAAGCCTGTGTTAACTAAGTATGCTGAACTGTGGATATGTGTTTTCAGATTCGTCCCCAAGAAATGTCAGAGAGCTGTTTCTGGGTGCGGGCTGATGAGGACCAATATGCAAAACCAGAACTACTCAGCAGAGTAGCTCTCACTTTTTGTTCGCAAAGAACAGGTCAGACTTTCACTACATTTTTTTTATGTACGTATTTGTGAAATGTCCATCTGAGTGGCTTCTGCACTATTCTGAAACAGCTTTGTTGTCATTAACAGTTTGTTTCAATGAGCTTTACTTTACATCTCCCTGTCTCAGCTTTCTGGCTCACTGCTGTGGATTGCATTTTCAGTCTGCTGTTTGGGTGGAAAATGGCAGTTTCTCACTTGAGCTGGAGTGGTAAAACAAGGAAGAAAAATGTGAATACGTTTCAGTTTTTGTGTTGTGCGTGTGTGCATTCATGCGTCTGTGCTTGTGAGTAATAGACAATGCGTCTTCATTGAGGATGAATTGCATGACAAAGACTTAGGCAAGTGCGTGAGTGCTTGTACCAACCCTCTAGGCTTCTGTTAGCAAGCAATTTGCTTTTCATCACTTTGAGTGAATGGACAGTGAGATATACAGAAGTCATGAGACAGAAATCATGTCTTATTTTTTTAGAGTTGAATTTGATCCAGTTTTCTGTTTCAAGCATATTTGATGACCTTATAAATGCTAAATTAACTAGAATGCTGATTTCTTTTCAATGCCTCAATAATTTCAAAGTTTCCTTGGCCAATACCATCCCCAATGTGTGTGAAATTAATGGACCCTGCAACCAATCAGAATCGAGTATTCACTCAGACCATGGTATAAACAATAATATTGTAATGCCCTACTCTATCTGAATAGACTAGTGTCTCACATCTCGTGTCTTTTTTTCAGTCTCTAACATCAGTCAGCAGTCCCCAAGGTTGTCATGCTGTTTTTAAATGTTGGTGGGCTATTCTGACTAGTCCTGGTGGTAATGCTGCATGATAAGACACCATACAGTTACATCCTCACACATTAGTATGGCTGGCAAGATCCGGAATATTCATGTACAAGGTTGTTGGAATGATTAAAGCTAGAGCAGGAGATGGCAAGAGATGTTATCAGTCTTGTCCTCTCCTGAGCTTGGCCTATTAGTCCCTCTTCTGATGATTTATTCACATGTCTTGTGTTTTCTTTCTTGTCTTGTCACTGACTCAGCTAGCTTACGCCAATTTGAATTATTCATCCAGGTGTTATCTACCTGTCACAACTCCATGCTCCTCACAAGGAACACAAGACCCCTCCCCCCACCACAAACACACACACAAGTTCCCCTTGTTCCCCATCGTCAAGGTTTTGAATAATGGAGGCAGATCTAAATGGCAAACAGGTAGACAGACAGTCAAGCAGGTGTTCTCTGGAGAGGGCAACGGAAGGATGTCCAACAGCACACAGTTCTGTACTTTTTGGTTAGGGTAATGACCCAGAGCCTGCACACATTCAAGGCGTTTTATTTTGCAGTAATCATGAAACACACTTCTCCTCATATGAAGAGGCACTCAAAAGCACTGCTTCTCTGAAGTATGCCGACCTCCTGGTTCGTTACTGTTCATGGGTAATGCATTTTATATTTGGTGTGAAAGGCATGAAACATTTGACTAAATCAAACCTTTCTCATAGCTCGAGTCCCTTCTCTTAGTTGTGTTTCTCCCTCTTTCCTCCTGTCCCAGTGGAGGTTGTAGGAGCAGCATGAGTGATGGGTTTAGCTGTCGGGCCCAGTTGCTGCTACTGCTGTGTCTCAGTGAGCGTGCGTGTATTGTATGCATACGTTAGTGTGTGCTTGTCTTCTTATTAACACAGCCATGCAACATCATGTTTCATCTCACTTAAGAGCAACAGCATCTGGATCTGCATTAAACATTAAAAAGGACACAGTATGAAACAGCATTCACTCAGTTTTTCTTATTAAATATTCATTTATATCCCTTGAAACTTCGTTATCTTTCGTGGTGTTTTTGCCTCTTGCTGTTGTTTTTTTTTTTAGAGAATTCCTGCCATTCTGTAAACAAACTGCTAAGTTTAGATGAGGACTAGGAATAGTTTGTTTTGTGACCATCATTGTTTTTTGTATTTTTGGCAGACCTTAACTTAAGTATAAACAAAAATAGTGATTGTTTCTTATTTTATCAGAAGTGTTAAGAGAAGGCTGTAATTACACATTCAGCCAGAATTTATATTACTGCATTTGGAGGAGCTAAGCATATTTTTATTTGACTAAGTAGACATTATATTCACAGCGGTAATATCCTTTATGCTTCCTCTGTTTATTCATTCAGAGTTGGATGTGGTTTTTTGGCAAAGGGTCAATGCCACTTTAACACATGTCCTCTGTGCACAAATTGCGATAAATGGGTCTTTTTACTTTTGAGCGAGCAGGTCAGAGTGAACAAAATTAAATAAGACCAAACTCAGTAATATAAGTTAATTTCTGTGCTCTTCTTTCAAGTCTTTGCTTATTAGCTGCAAACCTTTGATACAAATGTCCTGTCCTGAACAATAAAATTAATGGATCCTTTCAATTAGGGACAAAACTGTGAGAGGAGGTCATTATGTAATGGAAGGTTCTGTCTTTAGACAAATAGAGCGATTGCAGAGTAGCATTAAGCACAGGGGAAGTGACCTCCCATGTTAGAGAGTAAAATGAAGCAACCTACTGTACAATGGCCTTCAAAAATTGTTCGCTTGTGGATGTTGAATTATCATGTAAACATTTGAAAGGTTGCGTTCTGTTTTTCCTCATTCGTTTTACTTCCATATGGGTATATTTTCTTTAACAAAGTATTTTGCAAGATTGTTATTTACTTGTCTTGTTATAACAACTCATGACCAAGATGAGTTGATTTTATTGACTCGAGCAAAATAACCCTTAATTACTGGCCCAGCAATAAGCAGCAAAGATCAATCGATTTCTTCCGTAAATTGCTTTTCAAGTCCTTCAGAAACAGTTTGGATCATTTTTGTTGACAAGTTCTTTATGCTCATATATTTTCTAATATCTCTAACTTACAAGAAAGAGAGAGAGATTCTAATCTGGAGTCAGACACTTTCTTTAGGTTTGTCTTTGAGTTTCCTGTTTGTTGGTTTGACTTTGGTTTAATAGTAACTGGGTTCCAGTAAAGTCCTAACAACATATAATCTTGATGAATACCTAGCAGTGTTAATAAAAATTTCCTCTTTTAACTACTACTAAATGGTTTCCTATTCAGCGCTTAGAAATAATTAGTCTTTGCAATTTTTCTTCTGGCTATGGAACTGTGGAATGATTTCTGTTAAGAAGCTACGGTCAACTAAAAGTTCTCTAACAAAGCTCTACATTAACAACAATCATTTAGAAGATCTATAATGACTTATTTTTATTTGCAGATTCATATCTTGGCTCCATATGAATGCACCTTCAAGCTTGACTACACCTCAAAATATTCTAGTCACTGTTTGGACTCATTAGAGATTTGTGTAACTGCTTACACCTCAACCTGATAAGTATCAAACACCTCTGCTTCTATTCAAGCTTTATTTGTCTAGAGGTGAATGTCACCTATGTTAAAAGCTCTCTGCCTCCAATTACTGTGTGCATTAGCCATGGGCATGTCTTTATCTCTTGCCACATTGCAGAGAAATGGGTGAAATGTCATCTGTTAATAGTTTCCAAACAAATAAAATCTTAAAATAATGTGTTGCTTGACAGATATGGTGCAAGATAGGAAAAATGTGTGGCTTTGAAAGATTGCTAGGTGCAAATGTGTTTTAAACACTATCGCGCCCTGTGAACATACTTATATACGGATATTACTGCCGTCACTTTTTCCAAAAATCAAGTTAGAACAAATTTGAAATTACGTTGATCAGACAATACAGTATGCTTGGAAATATATAGAATATATAATTATGCAGTGTCTAGTAGACAGAAATATTTGTTTGAATTTGAGAGGAATATTGACCAGAATTTAAGCTGCTACACAGTGATTTGCAAAATAAGTAAAGTTGACAAGATTTCAGCAAAAAGCATACATGTATGGGCACGTCACCGATATTCATTCATTTACACAGTACCACATTCACACAAATGTCTAAGTATACATTCTGCAAGGAGAAACACTGCAGGGGAAACTGGGAATATATATCAAGTCTAATTGTGACCTGCTGCAGAAAATCAATGGTGGTGTTCAGAAGGACGTTGCAGCAGGAAAATGTTGTATTTCCTGTTTCCTCACTCATTAAAAAGAAGGGCACTCTTCCTGTGTTGTTAATTATGACACCCGGACTGTGTATAAACACATTGTGTGGGTTTTCACTCACATGCTATTTTCATTAACACCATGATCACAAATATACTTAACTTAGTATCAGACTTTATCTTTCATTCCCATCTCCCTCAGCTGTACTTTTAAACGCTTGTTATAATGCTAAAACCCTAAGCTGCTAGCATTGCTGTAGACTCTATTGAATAAAAGTTATAACTAATCTGAAGGAGATATACATTGCACACAGTGCCGTAGAGTTTTAATACAATGCAATCCTCTATCACGGCTGGCTGCGGTCGGCACCACAGACTTATACCTTTCAGCCCATAGATGTCAATACAATTATTCTTTTCTTCCATACAAGAGCTAGTGTGTCCTGTAGTGGCTTCTGAAGTGGAAGCTTAGACAGGGATGCCAACGCCAGCCCTGCTGTTCTTTTGTATCACTTTCCACTTCTCCTTCCCTGTCTGTTCTCTTATAACACAGTTGCCGTTCTGCAAGCGTCAATGCATACAAGTGGACAGGTTGCTTTGTGTAAGATGAAGCAGCTGTAGACTAGAGTGTCTGTCTCTTCACAAAAAACAAATTTTCTATCAAAGCATTAGATATAGGACAAGTGGAGTAGGTCTGTGTATTGTGGAGGAAATGTCAGAAACTCTGCCAGCCCCTCAATATTTCTCATGCTAACCTTTTGAGATGAGCCATTTCAGGCAAATTGGAAGGAACGGTTTGAAGAATTTCTTTTTTCTCCCGAGAGTGTCAGACATTTAAAGTTCCCAAGGGAAAGAAAGTAGGTTTAATAGAACCACTATCAAGTACTGTTGATGCTGCTGCAACTGCTTGTGCTGCTTGAATAGTGGTCCTCTG